AGCGATCCACAGCGCGAAGTTGATATATTTCCTCAGCGACCAGCACGGATCAGCTCCAGGCATGACGAAGCGGATATCGTCCTCTTTTGGAAGGCCAAACAAAGTAGTTTCGCATTCACAACGAAGCACACAGCGCCTTCACGACATGGCGGCAGCAACAATACTACAGCGAGAATAAAAGTTACGCCTTCTTTCTTTGCGTGAATATTTGGGCAGCGTTTGGCAAATCTTCCCACATCGTGATGTAGACATGTGGGGGCGTGTTAGAACAAGCCATTTTAGGTAGGCTTGGGTGACTCTAACTTTTATAAAGAATATCTCTTTGGATTTGAGACTTTAGTCTTTGCAACTTTACAGATATTTTTTATACACCAAGAGCTTGTAACATTCCAAAGAGAAAGGAAAAATTGAAATCGCATCATATGACCCCTTTAAAAAGTTAGTTGTCTAAAAAATGTTTTCTTTAAACTGGTCATAACTTTTTCAAGTCATTTATAAAAAAGGGAGAATTGTCTAATGTGAATCCTAAAACTAAGTCTGATTACCTTTTGGCTAGCTACTAGTTGATGAAATTAGTTCTTCAGAATCAGAATCAGAAGAGCTTTATTACCAAGTATGTTTACACACACAAGGAATTTGACTTGATGACAGGAGCTTCCAGTGTAGAAGAAAGTACAAACATAGTGCAGACATACATGATAGTGCAGACATTCTTAAGACAGTCTTAACTTGTTTATCAGTCATTCTTGAGAAGTGGGACAAAACAGGGTGCAAAGTTGAAAATATTTTTATTTTTAAACCTAATAGCAGTTACCCTTGCTGGACCTGTTTTGTCTCATGTCTAAAGAATGACTGTTATGCAACTGGCCCCTGCTCAGCGATGCTTTCCTGCATCGATTAGTCGCGCCTGCGCATTCAGAGAACGCGTCTCGCAAGCGGAAGTGGCCACCAGGAGAGGAACACGCGTGGGCTCCCCTGTGAAAGATACCAGCGATGAAAACTCTGGAGCCACGGTATGTATGGTTCTTAGGTAGTTTAGCCATTTAGTCTACATATTCTCCGCAAGCGTCAGTGTGTGCTTGTAATTGCAGCGTTGTATGTACTTTCATGTAATAATGAGTCGCCGCATGTGTCCATACATGCCCGAGCAAGTGTGGGAAACCTGTTGAACTAACAAATCATGTCCATATTCAATTAGATAATAGTGTCCGTTCATATTTTTTTGATGTCGTCTGTTTTTTATGTTATGGGTGAATTTTAAGTAACGTCACTCCTTCTGATAAATATTTATGTCATTAGGTTATGTTATAAAAGCAAAACTGTTAAAGTATTGCAGTATTAGTGGGAAAAACATAATCACAACCCAGATTATGTGTGATAATATAAATATTTAAAAAGATGGTTAAAGGCAGGGTAGGTGATTTGGTTCAAACGCATTTTTGTTATGCTGGTTGAAAGTCCCTTCACAAAAAGTTCGTCCAATCATATAGGGCTACGATAGGCTGTCCTTCCTATCTGTCTATGGATGTATTTACATACTTCTGCGCACCCTGTTCGCGCAGACATGATACGTCATCAGCAGACCGAGCGAGAATGGAAGGCGCTGTTATTGTAATATTATGCCCTTGTACTGTAATGTTTTCCGGTGAATGAGACATGAGGTAATCTGCCAGCGTCCCGTTCAACCCTCTACCAACGGTCTCTCATCATGTCGCTGGTTAGCTGCTGTTTTAGAGAGAAGGCTTGGAGAGTGATTTGCAGGGAGGGTGGGATCTTATGCTTTCAAAGCTAGCTTGTTATTGCTACCCTCTCCGAAATCGCATAAAACCTCATGCAACCTTTAAATTATAAACTGTCAATCCATCACTGAGCAATGTTTACTTTTATTTCTGTCTTAATTTTCTTTTCATTGAGTAAATAATCCAGCTATAACTCATAATGCTTGTTTACTAAATAGCTATTATTCGAACAATTTTTTTTTAAAATAAATAGTAATATTAAAGATTGAGTAAGTAACAGTTGATTGGTCTTAGTAGTATTTAAATTAGTTACAGATTAAAATGCGGTAGTATTTAAATTTTAGTGCGTATCAATTAAAATGTCTATAAACATTATAAGAAGTCCTTGAATAATCTGAAGCAAATGTTCTTGCTCTCACAGCTGCCTACTCCTTCGACCAGAAGAACACGGCGCAGAACGCTAATGGAAGAAAACCAACCCCAGTCCGAATTTGTTGGCAACTCCCAGCCAGATGAGCCGAAGGACAACAATACTGCCTCTTCCTCAGCAGCAAGTCTGCCAAAGCGTGACATTAGAAGATCCACACGTCTCCTTGCTGACAAAAAGCAGCCTAACTCTACCCATGAAGCTGATGTGTCTGAGTCAGAGTCCTGCTGCTCTGTAGTTTCTGATGTGCAGGTGACACCTAGAACCAGACGGAGGACTGCAGTCAGGGGGAAGCCCACTGTACAGGGCGAGGCATCCGAAGTTGAATCCTGCTCATCTGAGGTGTCCACAACCCATTCTCGCAGAGCTCCGTACAGCCTGAGGAAACGTGTTCTGACTTCAGCAGCTGCAAAAGATGCCACAAAGGATGATGATGATGATCCCTCAGGGGCTGAGTCGTGCAGTTCTTCTGTATCCGTCACTAAAGCTATGGACACCCGTCCGATAACAAGGAGCCATCGGAAGACCGCTGTTCCTTCCACAGAAGCAGATTCATCTGAACCAGAGTCATGCTCCTCCAGTGTTTCTGGCCTACGTGGATCTGTGGTCCGCAGATCTGCACGAAACCAGAAGGTAAAACCGACTGAGCCGATCCCTTTGAGCTTTGAGGAAACCACAGACACCCCTTCTTCTCCAATGTCCAGGAAGAGTGCAAGTAGGCGCAAAACAGTAGTTGACGACAAAACTGACTCTGATGGATACAAGTCTGGTCCCAGCATGAGTCCGTGGAGATCCACCAGGCATCATCCCAAGCCTGACACTCTGGTTGGTGAATCCGATTCAGAATCGGTAGCTACTGATGTCTGCACTTCTCAAGGGAGCCCCAGCCCTCAAAGAGGAAGGGGGACTCCTTGTAGTAGCCGAACCGGGTCTGCTAGTAGTAGCCGTGCGGTTCCTGTAACCAGGACAAGAAGTAAAGCAAAAGTGGCTTCTCATGTAAGTGACACCATTACAACTGCTGCTGCCATGCCTGAGGAACCGGGTGAGGGGCTTGAACCTCCTCATGAAAGTATTCCAGTACCTGATGGAGATGAAGCTGAAGACACAGTAGATCAACTGGACAGCACCGTGACCTTGGACACCAGTGAAGCTCAGGAGTGCACCATGATTGAGGAGAGAGCTGAAGATACCACTGTAGTTCTTGATCAGGATGAGGCCATTGAGATGCAGGAACCCCAGAGCAGCATGCAAGACGTTGAGCCGGTGGAGGACAGTGGAACTGAAACTCTGACACTTCAAGAAAAACCTGCGGCTGAAACTTCTGCTACGCTAACTGAAGAGTCTGGAGATGTTGCCATGGAAAATGATGAGCCAGAGTTTGTGGAGACAAGCCATGTTGTTGAAGATCATACATGTTCTGAGCCTGTGAAGGAGGATACGGTAGAAGCTGCGGCAGAAGATCCTGTACCAGCTGTGGTTGAGGACAAGGTTGATCGCGAAAAGAAAGGTGTGATCGTTTATGAGGAAGCTAATGACACCGTTAAGACAACCGAAAACGACTCCGTAACGTTGAATGACCTTGAAGGCCCTTCTACAAGCTCACACACTCAAACAAATTTGACCATCACAGAGGAAACATCTAAGAAACCTCCTCCCCAGAAACAAATGATCAGTTTACTCGACAGCAGTGAGGATGAAGACAGTGCTGATGAAGGTCTGTCTTCAGAGGAGGAAGGCTGTTCACATAAAGCTGAAGATGTGCAGAGTGAAGACGATGTGATGTGCCCTGATGGAAATCAGGTGTCAGAAGAAGCAGAGGCACACGGTAACGGACTGTTTGTTATAGACACTAAACCTGGACTACGGTCTAAGAAACAGTATTATGTTGATGCCAAGCAAACCGAGGAAGAGGATGAGGAGGATTTTGTTGATGAGGATGGAGATGACGATGATGATGAAGATTCAAAAGTGCTGTTTGCTCCCAAAAAGCCTCTGTAAGTTGGTTTTGTTTCTCCTACTGTATTGATTTTTAAATATGAAAAACTTTTAAATATTTGTAACTCTTCACTAAATATTTACATGTAATATTTCAATTATATTTAGTCTGAAAATATCAAACTGTTTTTTCTTGCTCAGGATACAGCTATCTAGTGCCATTGACACAGGTCTGAAAATGAAGGAACTTGGTGGTTTGTACATCAGTTTTGATGGCAACAAGCCAAAGAGTCTTTCCAACAGTTCGAAAAGCCAGAAGGACCTGAACAATCAGGATGAGGTAAATAATCATTTATTATTCTGGATGAAACATTGGCTGTATTTGATGACAGTTCAAAGCATTTTGTGCAGCTGTAATGCTTATTTAAGCTAAAGGGCATAAAAAATGTTGTATTCATTGTGTAGTTGCTGAAGAAGAGTGTTATCGTTCCGGAATTTGAGAAGAAAGATGCTGTGCCTCCATACAGTGAATCTAAACATGCTGCTAAACTCAAGCGCAAGGTGGGTACACCCATTCATGTAGAAATGGATAGTCTCATATTTTGTGTCTCCTTGAAAGGAAAGCTGTTTTACAGTTTTTATTTTTTATTAATTCATCTTGAAAACTTACAATATCATTCAAAAGTTTGGGGTCGGTAAAATTATTATTTTTTTTAATGAGTTTATTAAATCTAAATTATATAAATTGTTTTTTATTAAATTAGGAGCAAGGGTGTATTAAATTGATCAAAAGTAAAATAAAGACATTTATAATGCTACAAAAGAGTTCTATTTAAAAAATTTATCATGGTTTCCAGAAAAAAAATATTATGTAACTTATATAAATGTTTACATATTAGAATGATTTCTGAAGGATCATGTGACTTTAAAGACCCGAGTAATGGCTGCTGAAAATTCAGCATTGCCATTGCAGGAAAAAATTACATTTTTCAAATACAGGAACATAGAGGAAAGTAATTTTAAATGATAATATTTCTCATTATTAGTATTATTATTTTTTTAGTATTTTTTTTTATCATAAATGTAGTCTTGGTGAGATAAAAACTTTAATGGTAGTGTGTCACTTTAAATCTTAAATACTCAAGCAATGGTTATGATTTCTGATGATATCTCAAGTCATTATAACAATAGTGTTAACAAATAAAGTTTGTAATTCTCATGCTTTTGATTACATCAGGGTTTTATAAGCAATGTACTAATCTTATTTGTGTGATATTTGTCCTATACAGGTGGAAAGAGAAAAGACAACTGGTGATGGCTGGTTCAACATGAGAGCTCCTGAATTAACAGAAGAGCTCAAAAATGACCTGAAGGCACTTAAGATGCGCTCAGCCATGGACCCAAAGCGCTTCTACAAGAAGAATGACAGAGAAGGATTTCCCAAGTACTTTCAGGTTGGTTGGGGTAGGACTGGGCAATATGGCCAAAAAAATTAATATCTCGGCATTTTTTGGCTGAAATGTGATATACGGTATATATCTCGGTATTTTCTAATTGGATAAAAAAAAAAATACATATTTCACTATATTTGTTGTCAGTGCTTTTTTATAAACATTGTTTCATTGGACAAGATGTTATATATTACTTTTAATACCCTGCCCAATGTTTTCCAATGAAACAATGTTTATATTGGTGAAAACAAATATAGTGAAAGTAGGTTATGTGCGAAAATTGTAACATTACAATCTAAAAACAAAAATAATGATTTTTAAAACAGAAGTTCAATTCACGAACTAAAAACGAAAGTAAACACAAGAGCATAGATTAATTGCATTATATTTTGATTACTCCATTACTGCCATCTGCCATCATAAATAGCCGTGCACCGTACATATCGCTTGTATATAAAAAAAAAAAAAATCAATATATCATACAAACTTGATATACCGACCAGCCCTAGGTTGGGGAGTCTTTATCAGCAACAGACTTTTCCCCTCAAACAACTTTTCAAAAAGCCATTGTTCATACTTCATAAGACAAATGAAAAATGAGAATGGTTATCAAAATACTGACTTTGCAATTAACCACAGGCGTACATGTTTAAAGAAAGCAGACAATGGCATATTGTTCTATTCTTTCGAGTAAAGTTTTGATCTTTTTGTTTCAGGTTGGTACAGTGGTTGACAACCCAGTAGACTTTTATAGTTCAAGAATCCCTAAGAAACAAAGGAAAAGGACCATTGTTGAAGAGCTGCTTGCTGATGCAGAGTTTAGAAGGTAAGAAAACTGTGGCTGATTAGCTTTATATATGCAGTAAACTGAGATGATTTGTATTCATGAAAATGTTTTTTTTATTGACTGTTCTCACTATTGTTTTAAATTAATTGTCATGTTCTAAAATACCTCTTTTCAGCTATAACAAAAGGAAATATCAAGAGATCATGGCAGAAAAAGCAGCACAGGCCGCGGGCAAGATGAACAAAAAGAAGCACATGTTCCACAAAAAGAAAATGAATAAATAGTTTCATAAGGCAAATCAGTTTTTGATTTTGAAATATGAGGCAACTATATTTTTTTAAATTTCAGTGGATCAATAAATGCTTTTTTAGTGTTATAATCATTTGCATTGCATGTAAAAAAACAAACAAACAAACAGAAACATGCAACTTTTTAAACAAGTTTTTTCTTAAATGGATCGAGATTGGAAGACTGACTGAAGAGACTGATCATTCCTCTCTGGCTGTGGATTCACAATAAATTAAGTCCAAAATGTTGTATTTTTCTTTTTACTAATGCTGTCATCATTATGGAAGTAAAAAAAAAAGTATATAACACATTGTCAAGCTTCCACCACCCATACTGTTTCCTGATTTGATTTACCAGACATACGCAAATACATTAAATAGCTGATTGACCATATCTATGGTTATTGTGTTCAGGTGCTTTGTCCACTGTGTCCTGGCTGTGATGCGTTTCTGTAGAGGTTCCTGTAGATTTTGCTCAAACTGTCCTCAAACACAGCTCTGTGGGGCTTTCCTGTGTACGCAGCCGCTCTGTTAGTCCAGAATGTTCCATTGTCTAAATGAACAGATGGATCTCCAGAAATAAGCCTGCAGTATGGACAGGACACAATGTTTATGGAATGTCAAATTAAAATTTATAACTGCATATTCCACTGCAACTATGACAAGCTCACATTTTCAAGGCTAACTAGAAATGGCTAAACATTAAATTCAATTATTTATCCATAACTCGTTAATAGTATACAAGTCTCACTCAGGAGCTCAAACAATATAACGTTTTTGTTCCATTAATTTTATGTGCAATTATAAACGTAACGTGGAACACATACCATAATATTTTAGAACATTCCATTATATATAGCCTATAAATATATGTGTGTGTGACATTCACATTTAACTGCTTTTATTTCCAACTAATTTCTTAAAATGTAAATTTTTGTATACATCATGTAAATGCATGCATATGTATATATATATGCGTATATATATATGCATGCATTTACATGATGTATACAAAAATTTACATTTTAAGAAATTAGTATATATATATATATATGCATGTATATATGTATATATATATATATATATATATATGTATATATGTATATAT